AAGGCCTTGTACTTGCTAGGCAAATACTCTATCACTGAGCTATATCCCCAGCCCTTTTTGTTTTATTTCAAGACAGAGTTTGTTGAGTTGTCTAGGCTGGCCTTGAACTTGTAGATTCTTATGCCTCAGCCTTCTGAGTAGCTGGGATAATAAGTGTGCACCACTGTGTGGCTCCCTGCTTCTTTTCTTGCAGCTCAATTCTTAAATATTGTTATGTTTGGATATGAGCTGTCTCCCAAAAGTTTCTGTGTTAATGCAGAAATATTCAGAGGTGAAATGATGGGATTATGAGAGCTGTTACTTCATCAATCCATCCTAGATTAGATGGACTGACTGGGAGGTAACTGCAGGCAGGTAGGCATGGCTAGAGGTGAGTCACTGGGGTTGTGTCCTGGAATAATGACTACATTGCCCTGCCTCCCTTTGAGCTAGATGGACCTTTCTGACCAATCTAGTATGCAGAGATGATGTCTGCATTTCTTGGAGTTATTTCCCTGAAGGGAAAGAGCTGGTCCTTCCCTTTCCCTTTCTTCTGGCTGGAATCTTCCCTGAGACACGCCACCACGACCACCCCGCTTCCTGATCGCCATGAGCAGAGCAGTGGTCTTCTGCCACACCTTTCCACCCTTCCACCATGTTGTTCTGCCTCTCCTTGGGCCCAGAGCAATGGAGTTCAAGGACTGAGCCTCTGAAACTATGATCCAAAATAGATTTTTCTTCCTCTAAGTTGTTGTCAAGTATTTTGATCACAGTGACAAAAACCTAATTAATACCAGTATCAATGTCCTCCAAATTCTGATCCTTGGAGCTTTCTTCTCCCTTATGTGCCTTCTCCTTAGGTGGTCTTATTCAGCTCCAGAGCCTCCGTCACTACCTATCTGATAAATCTATATCTTTAATCTAGGCAGTGGTCTCTAAGGGGGCATGTGCCCAATGATCTTTTGAGGTACAAGAAGACAGAATTATGTTTGTTTTAATCTAAAAAGTAAAAAAAAAAATAAGTTTTATAACTAGTTAATATACATATTGACATGCCTGTTAATTATAAACAAATACATTTATAGTCAAGGGTATGTTTTTTAAAAATACTTTACTGACAGGAATGTGTGGTGGGGACTCCTAGCTGTCTTGGAATATTCATTCTCCCTTCTTTCATAATAATAGAAATAAATTGTGCTCCTGGCTGCTTGGAATAATGACTATATTGAGCTAGATGGACCTTTCTGACCAATTTCTAGGATGCAGAGGTGATGTCTGCATTTCTTGGGGTTATTTCCCTGAAGGGAAAGAGCTGGTCCTTCCCTTGCCTTTTCTTCTGGCTGGAATGCAGGCAGTAGCAAGACATCTTGGACTATGCACATGCAAAAGACAGGAACCTGGCCCCTTGGCCCCTTAGGAAACCACACAGGCTCTACACATATGAGAACAAAACCTTATCTTGTTAAGCCACTATGACTTTGGGGTTTGGGAACAACGACTGAATCTGTATCCTATCAAATATAAGATGTATGGAGTAACTTGGTCTAGATTTCTCTTCTGAGCTTACAACCCATACACGACGCACCAGGCATCTAGAAATCTCCACCCATGGCATCGGAAGTACAAGATGTCTGAAGCAGAGCCTATTTTATCCTCCCTCCTACCACAATCTGCTCCTCCCTTATCCCTGCAGGGGCTCACTGCACCATTTTCAGTAGGCACGGTTCCCTGATAATTCCCACATAGATGCATGCTCAGCTGCTGACATGCTTAGAAGGCTAGGACCCCTTCGGAGTGACCACACACACACACACACACACACACACACACACACACACACACCTGTGAAAAACAACTTAGAGGAGGAAAGGTTTATTTTGGCTCATGGTTTCAAAGATGTTAGTCCATGGTTGGCTCCAAGGCAGAAACATCATGGAGGATGGGTGTAAAAAAGGAAAAGTTTCTCAGCTCAGAGCAACTGGGAAGCAGAGAGAGGAGTAAAAGAGAGAGGATAGGGACAAGATATAATCCCCAAGGACATGTCTGCAGTGACCTACTGCCTCCAACTGAGCCCTACCACCTACACTTCCTAACACCTCCAGTAGTCCAGTCAACTGTCAATGGATTCATCCATTGTTGAGGTCAGAACCCTCTTACTTTCCAAAGCCCCACCTTGGGACATTGCTGCACTCGGGACCAGGACCTCAACACACGTGTCTTTATGGGACACTTCATATCCCAAACATAACAATGAGCTATTAAAAAAAAATGGGCTTTTTATTTTGAGATAATTGTAGATTCACATGCAGTTGTAATGCACCTTCACCCTATGTCTCTAATGGTAACATCTTGCAAAACTATAGCATAAGTTGAAAAGTTTATTTTTGCTCCACTGAATTGCTTTCATGTTTTTGTCAAAATCAGATGAATAAATGTGTGGGTCTAATTTTCATCAGAAGGATAAGTGTGTGGATCTAATTCTGGTCCATTAATTTAAATTTCTGTTCCTCTCACAATACATCAGTCTTAATTATTATAGCTGTATAGCAAATCTTGAAATTGGATAGATTGCTTCTTCTCATTTTAATTCTTTTTTAAAAAAATTTTTGGAGAGAATTAATATCTTTCCTAAGTCAAATCTCCCAATCCATGAATACTTTATTTTTCCATTTATAGTTATCAGTAGGTGTGTCCAGTGCGTGTTTTGTTGCATTTACAACTAAGCAATTTTTTTTTTTAGTTATGGTAAATGGTTTTGTATTTTTAAATTTTGGTGTCTATGTGTGCATTCATTCTTCCATAGTTAAGCATAATGTAGGCTGAGGAGTCTTTGGTAGATGTTCTTTATCAAGTTGAGGACATCTTCCTTTATTCTTATTTATCTGAAAGTTTTTTCCCCTTTGTCTTTAATGGATACTGAATTTTGTCAAATGCTTTTGCTGCATCTGCATCACTTGAAAGATCTTTCTTTTTCAGCCTCCCGCCCCCATACAACTGGTGCTAACGTTTACTTAAACCAGTAGTAGAATTATCCAGTGAAGTCATCTGGGCCTAGAGATTTCTCTTTGGATGAGTTTTAAAATTTAAATTTAGCCAGGCGTGGGCGCACACACTTGTAATCCCAGTGGTTTGGGAGGCTAAGGCAGGAGGATCAAAAATTCAAAGCCAGCCTCAGCAACTTAGGAAGGCCCTAAGCAACTTAGCAAGACCCTGTCTCAAAGTAAAAAGGGCTGGGAATGGGGCTTAGTGGTTAAGCCCCTTTAGGTTCAATCTCTGGTACCAAAAACAAACCAACAAACAAATAAAAGTAAAAATATAAAATTATGAATTCAAGAGGTATAGCAATTATTTAAATGCAATTCTTACTGCATCTGGGTGAACTGTGATGACTCGTGTTTTCCAAGAAATTGATTCCTTTTATTCCTGATACTGCAATTCGTGACCTTCCTTTTTCTCCCTCTCTCTCTCCCTATCTGTTGTCAGTCAACCTTATTGATCTTTTCGAGTGCTGCTCTTTTTTTTCATTGATTTTCTCTATTATCTTTTTCTTTTTGGTGTTATTACTTTTGCTCTGTTTTGCATTATTTCCTTCTTTGGGTTTACTTTCTCTTCTTTTCTAGATTTTTGAGGGAGGAACTTAGATTAAAGGATTTGAGACTTTTCCTTTTATCTAACACATGTTTTTAGTGCTAAGAGCATTTTCCTCAGTATCCCTTTAGCACATTTTTATATGCTGTTCAGTCTTGTGCCCTATAGAGCTACTTGGATAAATGATAGACTGTGTATTCGGCAATAGTCCCAAAGACTGTAACATATTGTCCTATTTTCTAAAAGTACACTCTATAATGTGTTCACATAACAAAATAGTGCAACATTTTTTCTCAGAATGTATCACCATCATTAAGGAAAATATTATTGTATTTTCATTTTCATTCAATTTAATGCGTTTTTTAAAATTTGCTTTGACACTACCTCTTTGACCCATTGTTTAGAAGTGTGTTGTTTAATTTTCAAATGTTTGGAGATTTCCCTGCTATTTTTCTGTTATTAATTTCCATTGTAATTGGAAAATATGCTCTGTATGTTTTCAATTCTTTTAAACTATATTCTGTTCAATTCTTGTTAGTTTTGTTGTATGGCCTAGGATATGGGCCATCTTGATATATGACCTATCGGAACTTGAAAAAAACGTGTTTTCTGCTATTGCTGGGTGGGATGATCTATTAAAGTAGATTTACATCATTTACCCCTCCCCTGGTTATGAATGTTTTAAATATTTTCTCTTTATACAGTTAGAATCACATCAGAGACTATTATAATTTTTTGCTTCTACCACAAAACATAATTTAGATAACCCAAGAGAAAAAGGAAGGTTCTACCATGTCAACCCATATTTTTGCTGTTCCTTCTCCTTTCTGATGTTTCAAGTTTCCTTCTATTATCTTTTCCTTTCTGCTTAAGAACTTCTTATAGCCATTCTTTAGGGTAGGTGTTTATGACAAATTCTCTTCGTGTTTCCTTATTATAGAATGTCCTGATTTTTCTTTCATTCCCAAAGGCTACTTGTCTGCCTATAGGATTCTGGGTTACAGTGCTTGTCTTTCAGCACTTGAAAAATATTGTTCTATTTCCTTCTGTCCTCCATGGTTTCATAGAAGAAATCTGCTGTAATGCAGTAGTTTCTGCCTACAGGTAAATTGCCTTCCTTCCTTTCTTTTTTCCTTTTTTTAAAGAGCAGGTTATGTTTTATTATTATTATTTTAAAATTTTTATTTTAATTTGTTATATATGACAGCAGAATGTATTACAATTCATATTACATACAGGTAAATCGTCTTTCTATAGGTAAATTGTCCCTTTTTCACCCCTAATGATTTTAAGATGTGTTTTCTTTGTCTTTAGTTTTTGTTAGTTTAATTATGATATGTCATTATGTGGGTTTCTTTTTTTTTAATATTCTTTTAGTTGTAGATGGTCACAATACCTTTATTTCATTTTTTTATTTTTAGGTGGTGCTGAGGATCGAACCCAGTGCCTCATATGTGCAAGGTAAGCGCTCTACCACTGGGCCACAATCCCAGCCCCTTTATATGGATTTCTTTGAGTTTATTCTGTTTGGAGTTCACAATCCTTGAATCTGTAGGCTGAAGTCTCTTGCTAAGTTCCAAAAGTGTCCAACCATTATTTCCTTGAAAACTTCTCAACCTTATTTATCTTCTTCTAGAATTCTGATAATGTGATTAGGTCTTTTATTATAGTCCCACAGGTCCCTGGGGCTGCATTTATGTTTTTAAAAATCTGTTTTTTCTATTGTTCATGTGGATAATTTTTATTTCCTATCTTCCAGCTCACTTTTTTTTTTCTCCTCTTCATTCTTCTGTTGAACCCATCCACTGGGTTTTCATTTTCATTATTACGTTTTTCTATTCAAACATTTCCACTGGGTTGTTCCTTACATGTGTTCTTTCTTTGCTGATACTATATTTTAATTTGTTTTAAGTTTGTTTATAATCGTTCACTGAAATATTTTCTTAAAATATCATGGCTACTTTAAAATTTTTGTCAGGTAATCCAAATAGCCCCATCCTTTTGGTGTTGCATTAATTGATTATAATTATATAGTTCAGTTTGAGATTTTCCTGGTTCTTGGTACAACAAATTATTTCAATTGAAACCTGGACACTTTCATATTATGGGATTCTGGGCCTTATTTGAATCTTGTTTATTTATTGTTACTGTCAGGTGCAGGTAGCAGTCTCTAATCCCTACTCAGCCTTTGTTGAGACTTGATTTGAGATGCTGGCTCCCTGTTTTGCTGGACAATGATGGGAATTTCAGATTCCCAGGTGGTCTGCATTGACAACACAGTGGGTGTGTCCTTGTTACTAATGGACAGTGGGGAGAGTCCTGACTCTCCACCAGACCTCCTCTAGTACCACCCCAGAGGAGAAGAGGAAAGGCACTTCATTACTGTTGGGTGGGGATGGAAGTCCATGGTTCCCCATGTCCTCTCCCATGACACTGTGTGATGGTGGTGGTCCCTATGTGATCTCCCCTGTGATCCCATGGGATGGCTGGTGGTGGGCTTGTAGGCGGGTTGTAAGACTCAGCTTTCACCTCAGCAGCAGAGTTGGAGTACTTGGTTACTACTTTACAAGGGTGGAAGTCAAGGTTCCTCACTCAAACCTTTTTTGGCATAAGTGAGAATGGGGCCATGTTTTTTCTGTGGCATTTGCAGTAGAGATGTTATTGTCTAAAAGTTGTTGTCTTACTGGAGACAGCAGGCTTCTGTCGGTGTTTTAAGGTTGCTTCAAGTCTGGGATATATGAGGTAAAAAATGAAACCTGGAGAACTCACCACTGTCTCATTGCTTGGGTCCTGAGGTCCCTGGAAAATCTATCTTCTCTTTATGTTTCAGAGTCTTAAATTTGCTTTACATATAATTTTCAAAGTTTTCAGTTGTACTTAGTGAGAAAACAGAGAAAAGTGCATCTACTCTCTTTTCCAGAAGCAAAAGCCTCCCTACTATATTTTTAACAGCTTAATTGAGATATAATTCATATGCAAAACAATTCACATATTTAAAGAGTACAATTCAGTGGATTAGTGCATTCATAGATGATCGCTGCAATAAATTTCAGAACATTTTTATTACTCCCAGAAGAAAACTTAAACACACCTCCACCCACACACAGTCTCCCAGTTCTAGATAACTGTAAATCTACTTCCTGTCTCTGTAGATTTGCCTATCCTGGACATTTCATTCAAGTGGAGTCATGCAATATGTGGTCCTTTATGATTGGTTTCTTTCACTTGGCATAATGTTTTCCGAGTTTCTCCATGTCACAGCATGTATCAGTACTTCATTTCTTTTTGTTGCTGAATATTATTCCGTGGTAAGGATATACCACATTTTATCTTTTCACAATCAGCTGATGAATGGAAACATTTGGGCTGTTTATGCCTTTTGCTGCTATGAATAATGCTGCTCTGAGCATTTCTGTCCAAGTTGTTGTTGAACATATGCTTTTATTTCTCTTGTATAAATACCTAGGAATGGAATTGCCAGATCATATGGTAACCAAGTCTCCCCATGCCAGACTGCCAGCCTGCTTCCCAAAGTGGCTGCTTCATTTTCATTCCCACCAGCAATGTATGAGGGCTGCAAATTCTCCACATCCTTGCCAATGCCGGTTATTATCGCTCTTTGATTACAGCCATCCTAGTGTTATTTCATTTGTGGTTTTGATCTGCATTGTATTGATGACTAATGATGCTGAGCATCTTTCCTTGTGATTATTTTCCATTTGTGTGTCTTCTTTGGAAAACAGTCTATTTTGAGCCTTTGCCCATTTTTAAATTAGAAAATTTTATTTGTCTCATTATTATTGTTTTAATAACTCTTTATATGTTCTAGATACAAGTCCCTTATCAGAACATGATTTGCAAGGATTTTCTTCATTTTGTGGATCATAGTTATACTATCTTATTGGTGTTCTTTGAAGCATAAATGTTTTAATTGATGATATCCAATGGATCTATTTTTTTCATTGGTTGATTGTGCTAAAAAGCACTCTCTAATCCAAGACCAGAAAGATTAATGCCAATGTTTTCTTCTAGGAGTTTTATAGTTTTAGCTCTTACATTTAGGCCTTTAATTTGAGTTAATTCTGGTATATGTTGTGAGGTAGTGATCTGAGTTCATGCTTTTGCATGTAGATGCCCATTAGCTCCAGCACCATAGTCTTGGCATCCGTGTTGAAAAATCACCTAAGGTGAGTGCTTATTAAATGCGAGGACTTACTTCCAGATTCTCAATTCTATTTCATTAATTTATGTCTTCTCCTCCTCCTCCTCCTCCTTCCTTTTTTGTACTGGAGCTGGAACCCAGAGGCACTTTCCCACTGAGCCACATCCCCAGACCTTTTTTATTTTTTTTTATTTTGAGACGGGGCCTTGCTATGTTGCCCAGGCTGGCCTTGAATTTGCCATCCTCCTGTCTCAGCACCTTGGGTGACTGGGATCACAGTGTGTGCCACCATGCCCAGAGATTTACATATTCTTATGAAGCTCCTTCAGACAGGAGCCAGGCCTTATTCTTTTCATACCCCTGGTTTCCTTTGGGTCTGGATAACTATAGGTATATTAGTCTGCTAGGGCTGATACAACGAAACACAACACCCTGGGTGGCTTAAACAGCAGAAACTTATTTTCTCAGTTTTGGAGGCTGAAGTCCAGATCAAGGTCCAGTAGGTTTGGTTTCTCCTGTGGCCTCTTTCCTCACCTGCAGGTGGCGGCCTTCTTGCTGTGTCCTCACATGGCCTTTTCTCTGTGTGTATATCCCCAATACCTCTTCTTCTTCCTATAAGGACACTAATCCTTTGGGTCAGGGCCTCTCCCCACCCGCCTTAACATTCATTAAAGTCCCTATCTCCAAACATAGGCACATTGGAGGTTAGTTTTCAACATACAAATTTGGGGAACACCCTTCTGTTCATAACACTAGGTCTTGTGTGTTGAGCTGAACAGAAGACAGGAGCACTTAAAACTGTGTGACGCTGGCGAGGGCTGACAGGCAGAGATGAGCTTCAGCTGCTCACAGTGCAGCAGGGTGTCTCTGGAAAGTGTGGGCCAGTCCGGGAACTTAGCCTGACTTCCTCAGATCAAGCGAGGGCCTGGCAGGGACGTGAGGCCTGTTGAGTGTTGTGAGTGGAGGTGGTGGGAGGGAGAAGCTGAGGGGAAGGTCTCCCGTGAGGGTGGAGGGAGATGGGTAGGAGTGTTCTGTGTGTGCTCAGATGGAGAGGGTGTGCAGGGAAACCTGCTCCCTGGCTCCTGAGCAGGCTGCGGACCTGCTGGCTGTGCTTTCCTTGTAGTGATTTCTGCCTGTTGTTTTTGAACAATGGCTGTGAACGTGCGTGCGTAGGGCTGGCATGACAGGTCCAGCCTCACAGAGACTGGAAAAACACCTGCAGCTCCCCACCCAGGTGAGGCTCCTTTGCTGAGAGGGACTGATGGCAGAAGACACCCAGCGTCTCTGTCGCACTTTGGCATGCCTTTAGGCTGTTAACGATCCACTCTGCGCTTTGCCGGTGACCTGGGTCGGTGGCACCTGTGTAAGTAACTCACTGAGGTGCACTTCACCATCTTGATTGTAGAGATGGGAAATGCTTGCCTCCAGCTCACTAAGCCATGGGCTTTTAGGGAGCCTCAGCATCTAGTCTCAAAGGACTGGGGATGGGAAGTTTCTGGGGGTGGCTACTGGCGAGTATGAGTTGAACCTGAGCAGAAGGAAAGATTTGGAGTAAGGAGCCTCCAATCTTCTCAAAGTAGGCCAAGTGTGTATGATTACTCCAGGTGGAGGCCCAGGAAGCCTTCTTGCCATGCATCAATATCAAAGGGCTCAGGAGTAAGCAACCATAATAGTTTCCATTGATCAGGATTAACTGTCTTTAGGAAGTTTAAATCAGAGGTGGGAATAGAGTCAGGCAGGAAGGAGGGCGGGAGAAGTGAGCTGGGAAAGCTTCATTCAGCCCATCCCAGTGGAGAGAGAGCAAATCCTGGAAACTGGGGGTTGTGTGGGCATCAAAGCCAGTTTCCTCTGCCCAATTCATTGTGCTGTTAATGTCATATGCTCTGGGCTATGGAGGTGGCTGCAGGCTGGTATCCCAGAGGAGCTGCACTGACCACCTTCTGCATCCTGCTGGAAGTTGGGAGCTCTCTTGGACCAATTCCTTCCTCCCTCCCTTACTGCAGTGCTGAGTTATTTACAACCGTCTCCCAGTGAACAGCCCTCAGCTGTGGGGAGGACACTTCAGATGCTCGGATCCTTCACCTGCACCTGCTTGTCCTCCTCTGGCACATGATTCTGGGGGCACAAGCCCTAGGGATGCTATCCTATGTGTCTTTCCACATTCCACTACATGCAGTATCTTCTCCAGGCCCCATAGCCAACCTGCATGTGAGGCATGGAGGGCCCGCTCACTGGTCTTAGCAAGTTGGTAATGCTGTGAGGACCAGACCTCAGGGGTCTGGAGGCTCGGTTTCTTTTT